GAAAATTCAGGTTTGTAAAATCCTCAATATAGCATTCTTCTTCTTCTTCATACGTGCAGCAAACCTTTCATAATTCCCCCTTTACCCTGCCATTCTCTAAATATTTCGTTGTATCTTTAACTACAGAAGAAAAAAAATTTTGAGACTTTAGTTATGCGCTTTGCTGGTGGATCAAATGCTGGCCCCATTTTACAAATAAATCAATAATCCTTAAATCAAGAATATTTCTTTGTAGAAGAAGTTCTTTGGGAAAATGTAGTTTTTTGAGTGAATTTTCGACACTGGCTCATCAGGTCGACATCAGTCGATCTTCAGATGGTCGTCATTAGACGATTTTCCAGTTCATACGTATGAATTACGTTTGCGACGTTTTGCTGCAGGCTAGGCGATGGGAAAACTGTATAATACACGAATGTCTTTCTACATCGATACCGAAGAATGATAATTTTACCAAAATCTGTCCGAATTCGACCTGCCATAAGAACAACTGAAGGATATGAGATCGCATCTCGTTTTGGTCAAAATATTCTTAGCGCGTTCACTTCAAACGCCCATTACAGACTCCAGAGATTCCAAGCTTCTGAGGAACAATGCAAGGACTTCTGCCGAACAAAACTTCCTCCACACTTTTTTGAATCCCTGAATGAGACAATTACTCGTGTTTCCGACGGTGAACGACAGAGGAAGAGAGACGTTTTAGATAAGAAATGGATGTCCATTACGAAACAACCTTTCACAAGCAAGAATTACTCAAGTACTGTAACACACCTATCATCAAGAACTCTCACAGCAACCGAAGAACATGTGCTTTTCATAGGAATGAAATACAACCTTGCTGATTCAAAATATCAGGACTTCCTTGCAAATTTGGAATCCATAACATTAGCGTAAAATCTTGCAGACGATGAGAGGTTCACAATACGGAACAGCACTGTGCACGCCCTAAAGAACTGAACCCCCTACTCAGTGCTAGCACAAGAAGAAAAGAAAGCACTAAAGTCTCTTAAAACAAACCAAAGCATCGTCATCCTACCTGCAGATAAAGGAGACTCAACCACCATCTTGAATAAGGCAGACTACGATGCAAAGATGCTATCACTGCTAGAGGACAGGTCAACCTACAAACCCCTGAACGCGGATCTCATCAAAAAGCAGAATGCAACCGTTGAAAAAGTACTCAAACGACTTACAGAAACGAAGCAAATATCAGGAGATAT